GTCTGTCGAAAGTCTGATGGTTAACCCATCCAGTCGACCCCCTTAATCTATATTAGATTCTAATAATGTTTACAAAGACAGAAATCCTTACTTAAGTGTGGGGCAGAGTAACTCTAATAACACTGCCACATAAGCAAGTTACTTAACAAACAGAAGAAGACTAAACTACCCCTATTCGGCACATCTTAACAAGGGAAATAGAAAGCATTACACAGGAGCTGAACATTACATTCAATTTGGTAAGGACTGTAAATGGGACGACTGATACTCTAGCAAAACAGGGGGTATTATAGGCAACAATTGTTTTGGGCGCAATTATAACTTGTGGGGATATGCCTGACCTATTGTACTATAAAGATTTAGTACATCTTAATAATCTCTCTCTCTCTCTCTCTCTATATATATATATATTAGGGAAATTAGGGACATTTTTTAAACCATGCTTTTGACCTCTTACAAGAGAAGAGCCATGGCAGATGAGACTATCTATTTACTCATGTCTGTGTTTTATGTCTCAGTGAGGGAGAAATGGCTGAACATATCCTTTTTTTATAATAAAATAAATATTTTTTAAAATAAAAAGAAAGTACAAGAGGAAGGTGATAAGAAACCACCCGAGAGAAGAGAGTAAAGCCCCCACATCAAAGTCACTACGTTGCTCATTTACAGCTTACAAGAAATCCCGACCAAGAAGATGCAGCTAAAACTATTGACAACAATCAATATCCTTTTCACAGAACATAACAAAGAACAATGGACTTCAAAGTCTTTTCTCTGAATGATATTTTGAGAACCTGGAAAGAGGTGGCACTATCGACTCAAGACAAGGCAAGGATAGTGATGGAGTGGAGGAAGCTTTATTGGGAACTGGGGATTGGCTGGGGTAGGGGGTATTTTCAGAGATATAGAAGGTAGAGTGGTGACCTTGTATTCAGGACCCTTGGAGCATGGTGATGCATTGACAGCAGAACTGGTCAATCTACTGCAGGGGTTAAGGCTTGCGAAACAATTGGGCTTCCACAATCTAGAGGTGGAAGGGGATTCCCAACTACTCATCTCATAGACCAGGAACAGTTCCCAGATTCCTTGGGTATTCCGGTATAAATTCACGGAGATTGTAAGCCTAACAAGGGAGCTAAATGTTGCCTTTAAGTGGGCGAGAAGAACAGCAAATGGAACGGCAGATTCTTGGCCAAACAAAGGGGCTGTGTGACAGCAAACGTTTTGGGCAAATCTGTAATCTTTTGTTGTTTTGGGGTGGAATTTACACCCAAGCTCTTGTAACTCCTAAATTTTCATCAATAAATTTCTTTTCCTGCTGATAAAAAAAAACAAAGAACAACTCCACAAACTCCTCCCAAAGCCAAAATTATTTGAGAGATCCTCTTCCTGACCTTTATACTCGATCCATGAGTCTCTTCCTTCCCTTGGAATGGTCTTCTTATGCCTTTCCTCCAGATTTCATTTCTTGAATTCTTTGAAGGATCTTCTGGTGAAAGCCTCTCCACCTAAGAAAAAAATGGCTGGACATATCCTTGTCCATTGTCAGGAAACTGGAAAAATCCGGTATCACTTAAATCTCAATGGCTATAGTTGAGTTACTCCTGAACACAATATGGAGTTTATTCGGCAATGGCATGGCATGGCAAATGACTTGGAAAAAGGGGTAAGATTTACTGGCCATAGCCTTGCATGTCATGTTGTGGGGTGTGTGGGAAGAAAGAAACAACCAAATTTGTGAGAACAAGGCAAGATCTCTGGATGAGTTGATTGCCCACATTACCTTTTTTATGTAATTTATGGCTGGAAAGTTCTATGGAGTTTCAAGGAACTTTGGTGGGAGATTTGCAAAGAAATTTTAGTGAACATCTTATAATCTTCACCTATGATTCTGACTTGCCAATCTGGCCCTGTCTCTAGACAAGTGTGGGTTAAGAAATTAAACTTTGGTGGAAGTGCTTTTGACAGCCCAGGTGATGCTGGCATTGGGGGGTGTGATCAGGACAAGCGGTGGAAATATCTATTGGGCTTTTAGTGGCTTCATTGGGACTGCTGATTCAACTAAGGCAGATGTGCTAGATGCTCTTACTGGAATCCAAATTGCTAGAAATTTGGGTATCTCAAGTTTAGCCATCGAAGGAGACTCTGTAAACACTATAAACTGGTTAGGAGCGAAAGATGGTGGTTCCTAGAGGCTGGCTCATTTCCTGAAAGAGGCTAGGGACATTTTAGATTCAATGACTGTGACTTTTCTTCGGATTCCTAGAGAATTAAATTTTCTGGCTGATAGTCTAGCCAAGTCTGGGACTCAGAGGGATAGTGGGATACTATGTATAGCAACAGAAATCTGCCAATGTAACCTTGGTTTAAGTTGTGCTGGCTTCAGCTGTACATTATCTTATGCACCTTTTTTTTAATGAATTTTCTGTTATTTTCTCTCCAAAAAAAAGGAAAAAGAACCAACTATATTTGATGACTTGGTGTTCAATCATATAGGACTCTAAATGGTGCCTAGCCTACACTCCTATTGGTGATGATGGGTATGCATGTTTAGCTTGCAACAAACTTGCAACAATGTAATATCCCATATAGAAATATGGAAATCTGGTTAATGGCCCTAGATGTGATTGATTACCTTAATATGGGCATTTGGATGAGGAGGTTATGTGCCAGAAAGCTTGAATTTGGTTCCAAGCTTCCTCTACCATGTTGGTTAAAATGGCTCATTGACTTAAACATTCGTGGTCTGAAACCATGGATTACTTAACTGTGTGTGACCACATTGGGTGTATTTTAGATATTATAGATTGTATAAGAGTTATGCTAGGAGATCCTTTTGACTGGCTGGACTTGCTCAATGAATAGGGCAATTGAATGGTGGGAGACAGTTCAGACTATCTTTAATGTTCTAGTAAATTCTTGATATTGTACAAGTATAAAAATTCTTGATATTGTGCAAGTATAAATTCTTAATATACTCATCAATTTTCATTTTTCTTTGATAATCATACATTCATTCAAATTACTGATCTGTTTAGGACCTTTAGGTTTTGTCTAGCACATATATGTCATGTCTACTAGATCTGAATTTTATTGGATTGTGAAATTTAGTATGTCTTACACAAAGTTCTTAAATGAACAGATGTAGTGCTCACCTGTACCACATATCTTACTGCATCATGTCATAGATATATCATTTTGATGCTTTAAATTTCTTGTATAACTGGTAAGATTGTAAAGAACGCATAAAGACTATATAAGTAATAAGATTGCAAAGAATGTCTAATTAATAATGTTGTAAAAAAACAGGTGAATTAGTTTGGTTGTATCATATTCTCCAAGAAATTAGGTACTTTGTACTGACCTCCATAAAGCTATATTTTGACAATTAAGCTGTTGTTCACATTGCCTCAAACCTAGTCTTCCATGAGAGGACTAAGTAATGTCTACTGCTTTTGTGAAGCCTGAAAATCAGTGGGTAGATCTGTTAACTAGAAGTTTGAAAAAAAGTAACAAGCATGAAATCTATATATTTAAGTAGCAGCCGACTGGTGGAATTCGTTAGTCATTTGGATCAGTTTTATATTTGCTTAAGTTCTGTCCCACTTCACAGTGGCAGAACAGACATTTTATTGTATCCTAGAAATCTATATAAGTGGCAGCCGACTGGTGGAGTGACATTCTTTTCACTCTCACCTTTTCTTTCTACTTCTCTCATTCTCCTCTTTTCTCTGTCTATTTTTCTGCACAGGAGTATTATCACACATATTGTGGAATTTTTTGAACAATAGTTAATACAGCATAATTAACATGATTTTGGAATCTGTTCTTTTCTTATTGATGTTTCAGGTTATTGGACTTGAGGGAGATGTTCGCAAGAAGGAAGATGCAATGAGAGTCATTGAATCAACCATCAAGCATTTTGGCAGACTTGACATTCTTGTGAATGCTGCAGCTGGGAATTTTCTTGTAAATGCAGAGGATTTATCTCCTAATGGATTCCGCACAGGTTTTTCTTTAGTGCAATTAACAGATGATAGGCATTCTATCAATTTGACACTGTGGATCTAAATATTAATTGGTATTTCTAAAATAGAACTAAAAATAAATCCTTAATCTGTAGTTGAATTAGTTTAATAGTTTAATCGATTTCCCATCCAATTTGATTTTTATATTGTTGTTGGGGGGTAGATTTAAAGAACAATAAACCAGAATTCCAAATTTTCCTTCATCTTTGGCTGAATGGAATTAGATTAGTTTGACATGAATTTAGATCCTGTTAAGATGCAATAGCAGTTTAGTTTTTGGTCCAATTTAAATGAGGTAGGCTTAAGGATAAGTAGACAATTGATTTTTAAGATCACAAAAGAGAGAATACAAACATGCTTTTATGATGATAATCTAGTTCCAAGTTTTTTTTTTCTTTTTTTTGTGTGTGTATAAAGTCCCAAGATATTGAATACTAATGATTTTGTCTATTTCTAAATTTATCTTTGCAGTTATGGATATTGATTCTGTAGGCACATTCACAATGTGCCATGAAGCATTGAAGTATCTTAAGAAAGGGGGACCAGGAAGGGGCCCATCTAGTGGTGGAACAATTTTGAACATTAGTGCAACTTTGCATTATACAGCATCTTGGTATCAAATTCATGTATCTGCTGCTAAGGTTTGTCAACTTAGTTTACTAGTTGTAAAGCTGGTTAGCTTTTATTGTTAGATTACTTTATAATATTCTCCTTCTAACAGGCAGCTGTTGATAGTATTACAAGGTCCCTGGCACTGGAGTGGGGGACCGATTATGATATCAGAGTTAATGGGATTGCACCAGGACCCATTGGTGATACTGCTGGAATGAGTAAATTAGCACCTGAGGAGATAGGGAAGAAAAGAGAGGAATACATGCCACTTTATAAATTGGGGGAGAAATGGGACATTGCAATGGCTGCTGTCTACCTAGCATCAGATGCAGGTCTGCTACCTTGTTCACTTCTACTTTATCTATTTGTGCTGTTATGTAAATATATAAATATACCTTTATGCTTCTTAGGTTGTGATCTCCTCCTATCTGGTTTATTAATAAACCAATGAAAGAAGCAATGGAATTTCAGTGTTTGTTTTCAGTGAAGGAACTGGTGGGAATTGTTAGCATGACTTGCTCCTTATATAGGAGGTGCTTGGTACAGTTGTGTTGTGTTGCTGTTGCATTTTGGGTTCATCAATACAAATTTGTGAGACAACTTTTGTTTTTACTTGAAATGTTTTGGGTTGATCAATACAAATTGCTATTTCTACCTGAAACATCAAACCTGATGTTTCTCACACATGCATTTTTCTAGTTGAAATGATATTCATATATTATGTGGCAAACTGGCAACACATATTTTCACAAATTTGTATTGATCAACCCAAAATTCAGCAGTATCACAATACCAAACACCCCCATGGTTATAGTTACCAAGGCAATTACAGCAGACTTCAACTATATGGGACTGAGATACACTTATTATCTCCCAAAGGTCCCTTTCTTGTTGCACTGATAAAAATTGTAATGACACCCCAAGCTGACCCAGTTGGCCCCCACCACAACCAAAGAAAGCCACTTAGGTAGAATGGATCCAGACTATTTAACACTCCTGCCTATACTGCTCCCAGCTAATCAATCGGCTAGCTAATTGGTTGGCTGATCTCCTGACCTGACAGGATGAGATGTTGAAGTATCACTTTTTAGATATATGCCAATCTCAGTCTCTGAATAGAGTTGAATAAGGTTCCTTTTTCTAGCTCTTGTGAACAAGGGAATGCTGTTTAAAAAATTATCAAAAAGAAAGAAAAAACAGAATGCTGTTTAAAGGCTACTTTCTTTTTAATCGGATTACTTGATCATACCTTTATGAAAATCTAATATTCTGGAGACATGATCTTTTACTTACTACTTTTTAAGGTATGTGCCTCACCTAACTCCTAGGGGAACTTCATCCTTATACATTTAAATAATCTATATTCCTTCAAGGCACGTATCATCTTTATACATGTAATTCCAGGCGCATTTTAAGGTATGCGCCTTCCTACTCCCTAGGTGCAACACTGTCAAAGGTGTGCATCTGGTGCGCCTTGTGCTTCAACCAAGGCACGTGCCTTTTGAAAATTTGTGCATTTTGATTTTTTTTCCTGTTTTTCGCTTGCTCATCAGAGCTCCGAAAACCCCATATTTGCTAATGTTGCTCATTCATTCATCCTAATAAAAATATTTTTAAAAGAAATTAAAGTTATAAACTCTTTTTTATAGGGATTAAGAATTTAAGATCCTGATATGGATTTGTTTGAATGTTTGGGCTTGCCTCAAGGGGCTTGGTACAAAGGCAGTTCATAGAATTAGGAATGCTTAATGTTTAACATCACATTATCTATTTGAAGTAATGAGAAAAGAATAAAGAGACTGAAGAGTTTTACATGCTTGAGTATCTTTTATATGTTATACTTGATTTTATTTTTAAATTTTCATTTTAAATATATTTTACATGTTATTTTTATGTATTTTAATTTGAGTTAATAGGTTTTTTAAAACATTTATTTTAAAATTAAAATTAAAATTTTTAATTAATATTATGTTTAATATATTTTAATTACTTTAGTTTTTTTTTTGGTGCCTTGCTTTGAAAAGGTGCGTGCCTCGCCTTGCGGTTCCCGCCTTGGGTGCAAAATCCCCCTTGCACTTTTTTTCTCCTTGTGCTTTTATAACACTGGAGACATGATAGCTAGAACAGCAAGAGGGTTTTCAGAAATTGAAGGAACATAGATTATTTACATGTATAAGGGTGAAAACTGGTCAAATTAATTGGAATTTGATCGACATTCAAGCACCTGTTGCAAGCAACAACCAATTGTGTCAAGTAAATAGCAAGGAAAGAATTGTATAGAGAGAACAGGGGAAAGCCCTAGAATTACTCTAGTGTTTTTAGGAATCATACCTAGGGTTTCGGAATCACAGGTCCAAGTTGTAGCAGAAGCCAAACCAGTCATTTATTCATCGATAAAAAAAAGATACACTAGGAACTATTCTTAAAATTTTGTTATTCTGCCCCTATGGTCTTAGATACATAATTCCTCATTTACTGGATAAATGACTGGTGAGACTTCAAATAACATAAAAAAGATTTGGACCCAAGTAAGAAAACCCAATGGTGAGACTCCACACCGGAAACATGATAATTTCACCTAGACCCCCCCCCMCCCCCAAGTAACTTAACATATCTGAAAAGATATCCAAAGACCCACCATATGCTGCATAAAAGATTTGTTTGGTAACGTTGCTCATCCTAGAATAGGTTTTCAGTGGCTTAGGGAAAAAGAAGACTAAAGAAAAGTCTTAGGACAAAGAAGACCAACTGAAAAGACATTCAAAGACCCATCATGTACCACATTAAATACTTGTCCAATAGCCTACCTCCTCCTAGAACAGGTCCTTAGTAAGTTAGGATCCCAATTGTAATATTGTGATACTATATTGCCTTTATGCAGGCCTTGAGCTTCATGTTTCATATTCATACTCAACTAAGCTTTGTCTGAACTATATGGAATGGGTTACATAAATCCTGTTCTAGTGCCCAACCCATTGTGAATTTGTGGACCATTAGAGATCCATTTCATCTTGTACATTACTTCCAACCGCCTAGAATTTTGTCTACTTCAAAGGTCTGCTTTTCTGTGTTATGATCTGCAACTTCATATTTTGTTTTGTTGTATGTACTTACTGATTTAGTAACTTTTTGGTACTCATAGATGCTTAGGTGGTTTTGAGTTTAAGTGGCTGAGTTTGATTCAGGTTTTTGCCTATTCATGAGAGAATGTACCTCATCAATAATTTAATGTGTGAAGGTAAATACATTAATGGAACAACACTTATTGTTGATGGAGGACTGTGGCTGAGCCGGCCACGCCATATTCCAAAAGAGGCAGTGAAGCAACTCTCACGGGTGGTAGAAAGGAGGTCTAGAGATGCACCTGCTGGGCTTCCAACAAGCAAGCTGTAGCATTTGCATTGAAAATGATCATAATATATTTAGTCTGCTATTATAGCCTCCATGACTCCATCAGGCTCTTCCAAATTGAGACTTGCATTATATCTTCTGCTGAGTAGTCAAAAACCATTATAGCAACCCAGGAAAGAGGGAGTTAGTCGCATGTATGCATACAAGCTTAATATAATTTATAATTATGTATTAAACAACTCAAGGAAGGACACGCTCGTCTATTTGTTGATGGATTTTAACTTAAATGGTTTCTCTGAATCCTACTAGCAAGCCTGGAGATGGGAATTTGTGCCATGATTTTTCCAGGTACCTAAAGAATGCAGCATTCCGGTACTTTTCAAGATGTAGTTACTGAACAGATGAAAGACTTTTTAAACTTCACTACTTGGCGAAAGAGATTTCAGTCCAAACGTTTATTATCAAAAGTTCAAAACAATAGAAAGGACCATGAACTTGTTAATTTGATAACAATTTTTACTTATTTCTCTGCTTTTTTGTCTACAGTATCCTTTACAAGATGGTGATGGGGCTTGGTACTGTTGTCATAATACAAATTTAAGATCAGGAGTCGTAACGTGAGCTTGGAACTTGAGTAAAAATTTCACTCATTTCTTTTCCTCTCTAAAGAAGAAAAATCACTTGATCCAGGGAATACAAATTACCACCTTTTGCTCAAAAATATATATAACCAACAAACTAGACTAGACAGCCCATAGAGGATTTAAGTCGATGGATAGGAGACGAGACTTCCAAGGGCAGGGCCAAACAATCAAGTTCTCGGCATTTCATTCACAAGCGAGACTGGCGAAAGCGAACTGGAGATTGATTACTTAGCAAACATGCTGAGTGCGTCTTCAATACTTGATAGAAATTATGAGACAAGCAACCATCAGCCATCAGCATTCGGCACAGCCAGTAGTCGGGATGAAGAGGAATTGAATGGAAATTGAATAAGCACGGCAGCACGGCCAATGTTCAAAGAAAGGACCCCACACACCGACACACATTCAAGTCCACACACTTTTGGCTCTCATAGCATGGTCACAAGTAGCTAATAGCAAATCAAATAGTAAATCTTTCTACCTCTCTCTTTCTCCAAGGAATTGAGGTGCTGGACAATAATCTCAGGATCTTGATTCATAGTTTCTGAAGTTTTCCCCCTGTTCTTCAGACTTTCAGTGAACCAAGCAGCATAATATAATGACAAACTTCAGTGAGATGGATCAAGGATTCTTTTGGTCTTTAGACACCGAGAAGTGAGACCCAGTTGAGAATCAAAGTGGTTTTAGATCAAATGACTTCTGGTAAACACCAGGCAACCCACCGATACCTTCTCTACAGACAAATACAGATCAAATCAGGTTTATTCCCCAGACCAAATTAATGAATTATCCAAGACGCATTAAATTTAGTAATCAAAATCATCAAAAATAAATAGCTAGCTTGAGTGCAATAAGCTAATAACCAGACCAGATAACTAGGCAGTTCACAGTAGTAATACTGATCACCCACATCACAATTCAGATCGAATAGCCAACTTTCATCATTTTCATCTCCCCCTCTCTCTCCCCAACAAGAAGAACAAAGTACAACAATTTGATCAACAAAAGAACAAGCTTATGCTTGCATATTCCCATTACCTAGAAAAGCTGAAGCCTTCATTCTATAAAATAAAATTGAAAACCCAAAAAGATTAAAAAATATATAGAGGATCATAAATAAACAAATGAAAAAGAAAGTAAGAGGAAAGGTGGATCCCCCATTTTTCAGTCTAATCCTAACTCCAAGAAAATCAACCAAAAGGATGCTTATGAATGATGATCTAACATTCTAATCTATTCAAATCTAATACTACAGAACGGTTCTAATTTGTGCAACTTCGATGCAAAATAAAAAACAAGTGATTAACACCATTCACCACCACATAAAAATAAACCAGTTCATTCAATCGTCATTGCAGAAAAAGATAGATGTGAATGTGATCCTCCAAGAATAACACTCAATGAAAACATTTCTCTTTTCTTTACAGAATGCCATTATAATTTTAACAAGGTACAAATCCAAATCAAACACTTCCCTCAAGCCTCCAAGCTCTCCATCTGAATACTACTCTTCAGAGGAACATACTCCCCAAGATAACCCCCAAGATGATCATACAAAGCGCTCTTGTCAATTCCCTGGTGATGATAACTCTTGCAGACATAGTAAAACACACTCTGAACCAACAGCCCAACCAAATTCACAATCACCAACACTCCGACCAAGAATCCACCAGCCACAATTCTAACAAACGCCCCGTAGTCCCCACCGTGAACCACAATCGATCCAAAAACACCCCCGATCACCCCGCAGATGGACAGGTAGGCGAAAACAAGCACGGCGGCCATCTGGGTCTTCCCCTTCAGCAATTCCCTACTCTTCTTCATCGCCGCAAAGCCATAGACTGGTTCTAGCACCGAAATGACGCTGGCGAGGTGCCAGAGAGCAGTAATGTAGACGTGAACGACGAGGAAGAGCGCGAAAATGGCGAGGAGAGAGAACAAGAAGAGAAGCGCGTTCTGGGTATCGATGGCAATGATGAGGGCAACGAGGGCGGCGACGAAGACAACGTTATAGACGATCATGAGCAGGGAGACGTAGATGAAGGTGATGAAGAGGCGTCTGAAGACGCGGGGAATTGCGGAGAGGGTGGAGGTGAAGGAGACAGGCTTGGAGGTGTAGAGAGAGGCCACGGTGAAGACGACGGCGGCGGTGGAGAGGAGGGAGAAGGCGAAGAGGAAAATAAGGTAGCAGAATTGGAAGATGAGGAGGAGAGTCCATTCATGGCGGGCTTGGGGATCTGACGGGGATAGGGTATCGATTTGCTTGAGGAGAGGGTGGGTGAAGAGTGAGTGGGCAAGGATGGCAAAGGAGAGGGGAAAGATGAGGGTTAGGGTTATGAGAGAGAAGGTTCTGGGAGATGATTTGGGGATTGACACTGATTCTTTGACGATGTCTTTTAGGGTTAGAAATTGGAGCTCTTCTGCTGCAAGATCCATCGAAGAGCCCTGTAATTCAGATAGACAGAGAAAGCTTTGGGTCGGTGGGGGTAGAGAGAGAAGAAAGGGAGCAGCTGATCACAGAGAAAAGGTAGGAGAGAGAGAGAGAGCATTCCTCTTCCTTTTTGTTGGGTTGGTTGTAAACTAATGAAAATTGATGCGGTGGATCTTTGTTTTGTGTCGGTTGGGCAGTAAAAATTACCTAACTTCTTCTGTTAAGAAAAAAGTTTAGGAACGTTGGATTGGAATCTTGTTCGTTGGGGGATTGATGATGAACTCTATGACCACGGATTTTGTTCTAAGCTGTGAAGATGACAGCATCTTCTCTAACCAATTTCTGAATATATATTTGCTGCACGATGCAATTCTTTGAGCTTTCAACACCGTCGATCTTATCTTTAGGGCACAGAGATTTGATGAAGAATCTACACGGTATACCATGGCTGTATCGAGATGGAATTGAACAACTGAAGTGGCTGAATTGATGGCCTGTTACTCATGGTCCATGAGTCGAGATCTCCTGCCAACTGAATATGTTCCTCACACTCTTCTGCCATGATCTGACACCGCACATCTCATGTAAGATGGGTTCCAGTTTTATGATAGGTCCCAATATTATGGTGAGATGTGCGGTGTCAGATGATGTTGAAAGGGAATTAAGACGTATTTGGTTGGCAAGAGATCCCAATTCTTGGCTTGTTTGAGAGGATTGAGATCACATATTCGTGTATTAGAAACATCTTCTGATGCATCATTGGAAGTGATACTATTATTGGGAGATGTTCTCAATACACAGCGGGGATGTGCTGTGGGGCGGCCCCACAGAGATATGAACTCGGGAGGGTTGAGCTTTGTGAATCCTATATCGTTTCAATATGATCCGTGTCAGCACATGTCATCATAATAGATTTCATGGGATGTATTAGAACAGTTTTGTTGGGAGGAGATCCCAAGTTCAGCTGAACATTCAACTAAGCCTAAGCTTACGAATTCGGATCTCCTCCCAACAAATAGAATTCGACTTTCCTCCTCACAGGCACATACAATCTTACAACACTTGCAGCCATACGTCAAGAATTGAATGTTGTAATTCATAAAGAGATATTTTCAATGCATGGTTGCAACATGTCGTGAAAGAGATCAGCTTCTATCACCGCAAGCCCATGTCATCACAGTTCCGCCTTTTGCATCTTTTGCATTGGGATTCTCCCCATGAAATAAAGCACATTAACAAAGGAGATATTCTCAATATGCAAGGCTGTAAAGGCTGCTCGAACCGGCTTTTCTCTGACCGAAGCCGAATTCATTGTGAGAGTGGTTTGATACATGCTTTGTGAGGAATAATTCCAAATTCCAACAAATAAGTACACCTCATACATGATAGGTCCCAAATCTTATGGTAAGATGTGCAGACATGTTGGGATGTGATGGTATGATTTTCTTTTGTTGGGCGGAGATCCAAATTCTAAGTGAGATAGGCTTGCCATAGTGCTTCCTGCGCATGAGTTACCATGGATGTGAGGCAAAAGAGTAATTTTAACCAATATTTTAAGGTCGCATTTGGTTGCAGTGCCAATTATTTACATTGGTGCAAAACTATGATGGTATGATTTTCTTTTGTTGGGCGGAGATCCAAATTCTAAGTGAGATAGGCTTGCCATCGTCGTCGTCCTCGTCGTCATCTAAGTGGTGTCCCATCTATCAGTTACATGAAATCCTATTTGGCCATTTGATTTTGTTCAATGACATGCCTATTGTTAAATTATTTCTTATCACTTCTATCCAAATCTTTTTCTATCTGTCCTTAACTCTAATGAGATAATTTAAGGTTAATAATGGCCTGGTATTTATTTATTATTTATATTTGATGGATTGTGATGGCCACATAGTTGAGATGTTTTATCATCACCTCAAAGTGTAAAGTTCAAAATTTCTTCTTATGTAAGAAAGAATGAATTATGGAAGCCCTAGGTTTGGTTAGGATTATCCTTCCTTTTCTTATGGTGGATACTGATGTGGCGTAATCCGGCTACTCCCTGCTGGACGTGACCTAGCTTTCAGCAACGATGAGGATGGGTTCCTGAAAGAGAGGAGTTTAGAGACCCCGGGGTGACTCACCCGGCGTGGATACTCCGATGACTAAGTTAGAACACAGTGATAGTGTAGAGCTTGGAGATGATAACAGTGAGAGCTCAGAGAGTAGAGATTTTGCACAATCAATAATAGTAATAGAACAAACCTTCGCCCCTGGTGGGAGTGGGGCTTTTATACACCAGCTCAAGTGGGTAGGTGGAACGGTCACTGATCCCCTACTATGATGGGACTTGTCGCATGTTAGGCGGTTGAAGCGCCGCCAAACGGTAAACTGTCACTTCCCGCCAGAACAGGGAGTTGGTGAACTAATGTTACCGTTATAAGTACGGTCCAGCGGGGTTCAGGAAAGGGGGTGCGTTCCTCGAGGTGGCCATGAGAAGATCTGTACGGTAGATGGGCTATCTGCGGGATACTCGGCTGCTTGGTAGCGAGCTAGTGAGTAGCAAGCTTCTCGAGCTCGCGCCTTGGTCTCCCTTTGTGAATGCTGAAGTGTTCTTGGGTTGAGGTGATCCCAGTTCGAAGTACTAGCATACCCGAGCTCGCTTTATACCGAGCTGGCTTATGCCAGGTTGTCACTTGCATTGAGTCACGTACACGCGTCGTCTGTCTATGAGGTCAGGCCAAATCACCCTTCATCAATTGCCCCCCACTCCCCGAGCTAGGGGTCCTGACCTGGTGCGGGGAGTTCATGATGTGACAAGTGGATTTGGCTCGGAGTTTAAGCTGATGTGGGATGGACCATGTGYGATTCACGCACGGACGTCAGGCGATCTTATAGGTTCTACGGACGCCAAAAAATGCGCAAAATTGATTTCGGTCTCGAGGGTCGTGCAGCCGGTTTTCTTAGGAACCGTTGGATCACTTCAATCTTGACCATTGCTTTCTTGGCATAGTGGCTATAAATAGTGTCCTCCGGGACCCATTTTCCTTTGCCACAAATCCATAAGCTCTTGTCTTGAGATCGCACTTGCTTCTTCAGCTTGGGTTTCCCAGTTCGTTGTTCCTTCCTAGTCAGGTCGTCCACCTTTGGTGAGTCTCCCTTCGCTTCTTCTTTTTTTTTCGGTTTTATCTCCATGTTGCCTTCTAGTTCTGATGGCCCTCTTGACGAGGCCAAGGTAGGTGCCTTGGCCCTGGTCGGTGGCCAGGATGGGGCCATTGTGAGTTCGGGGGCACCTCGTGGCCCTTCTGAAGCACAGGTTCCTCGAGAGGCCCGAGAGGCTTCGAGTGGTCAGGCATCCACCTCCTGCCGAGGTCGAGAGCCAGACAACTTCAGTCCTTCAACCATGACCTCGGACCGACTTCAGGCCCTAGTTCACCAGTATTACCTCCCGAGGGAGTTCTCCTACAGCCTTCCTTGTTGTAACTTCCCTTGGGAGCATGATCATAACGAGGTCGTGGTTTTTGAAGAGTAGCTCACGGCTAGTCTTCGTTTTCCGCTACACCCTTTGATTACCGAGGTCTTAAAGTCCTTCAATATAACCATAGATCAATTACATCTGAACTCTGTTCTTAATGTGGTAGGGACCATTTCGCTCTTTTACGAGTACTGTCTTCCCCTTGACCTTGACACCTTTTCCACTATCCTGTCTATCAAGAAAACTCCTCTTGCGTTCTTTCCGAGCACAAGAGAACCTAATACCAATCCCCTCGCCCGGGGTACAAGCTATTGCACAAACTTCCTAACAAGATTCCAGCCATGAAACGGGGTTACTTCGTAGTTCGTAACCCCGAGGGGTGGCCCTTTTCGACCCAATGGAGGCCGGCAGTCCAGGTACCCGGTGTTAGGCTGGGTCTGAAGACGAGAGAGACACTTAAGTCTTGGGTGGAGCTTGGTTTCCTCTGCTCAGACTACCTTGCTGAAGATAAGCTTGTGCAGGCCGGCTTGAGTCCTGCTAGGTTGTATTGGGATTTTTACTTTCTCAAGATCCTGATTAGTTCGTGACTAATTTTACCTTTCATTCTCGACAGCTACCATTCCGGTCAATGCTGAAAGCCTTCTGACGAGCTCCCAGAAGGGGAGAAAGAGGGGCGCGAAGAGACCGCATCCGGAGGCCGAGGAATCACTCGAGGTTGTCATCATGGAACCGTCTTCCGTACCTCAGGAGGAGGCCCAGTCTGCTGCCCCTGAGACTTCGGCCGAGGTCCAGCACGAGGAAGTTCAGTCCGAAGAGCCAGGGAGTTTGTCCATACCCGTGGATGGACCGGAAGGTTATCTTCCAGCTGTGAAGGACAACATCATGGATCATGTTAAAGCCATGCGCAAAAGTCAGGAAGCTGTCTTTGAAGAAGTCTCGAAGTGGGCCGAGCTGGCTCCGGGCACTCTCCTGGGATTAGTTGCTAGCCACTGTATGGTGGTGAGCTTTCTACCTTTCTTCTCCCCTTTTCTCATTTTTTTTTTGACTTCGGCTTTCTTGTTTGCAGGTTAACTCTGCTGGTCGCGCGTTGGCTTTCCAGGCGGCGATCCGCATGAAGGAAGCTATTGACGCCATAACGCAAATGCAGAGTCTCCACCGCGACTTGAACCATACTTGGGGCAAGGCGCTTAGGGCCAAGAAGGGGGTTGGCCCCGAAGGAGCTTATCCTAACTCAAGAGAGGCAGATTTCTTCACTAAGCGAGGAGAAAGCGCGTCTGGAGCGGGAGATCATGGACCTCGAAGCTTCTATCCCGTAGGAGAGGGTCAAGGCCATTGAGAGCTTTAAGGAGTCTGCAGAATTCGAGGCTTTGCAGATTGAATATGGATCGGACTCCTACCGCGCAGGGTTCAAGCTGTGTCGTTACTTAGTTCGTTAGAAGTTTCCCGACCTTGATCTTGGTGGGATCACGATGGCGGGCTTGGACCCTGAAGTGGCCAAGGAGGCGGATGCAGAGCCCGACTCTTTGGTGGACCCTTCTGAGTGCAATTTAATGTATAGGTTACCTGAACTGTTGAGCTACCGAGCCGGCAATGAGTAAGGATAACTGAGTGAAGTTGTCACTTCGGGTTGTGCGGGTTACCCTGGACTATCGGACTACCGAGCATCAGGGGTGGAATAGACACCGTAGGG